TTAAAGAAACCTTCATACTGTTTTCCCTAATGGAAGCACCATTTTGCATTCCCACCAACAGTGTGCCAGGGTCGACCACATCCTCATCTCCACATCCTTATCACGAATTGCTATCTTTGTTTTTTTTTTCTTTTTTGAATAATAATCATCCTGACAGGTGTGAGGTGACCTCTCATTGTTTTCTATTTGCTTTTCCCTGAAGATTAGTGGTACTGAGCATCCTTTCAAATGCTTATTGGCCATTTGCAGGTCTTTCTTAGATAATTATCTATTCAGGTTTTCAGTGGTTTTAGGTTGCAGGAATTCCTTATATATTTTGGAAATTAACCCCTTATTAGATACATGGTTTGCAAATATTTTCTCCCATTCTGTAAGTTGTCTTTCACTCTACTGTTTTCTTTACTGTGCAGAAGCTTTTTAAATTTGATGTAGTCCCATTTGTCTATTTTTGCTTTTGTTTCCTTTGTTTTGGGCCATATGCCGTTTCTTAATCATTGCTAAGACCATTATCATTAAGCTTTTCCTCAAATGTTTTTTTCCTAAGAATTAGGCAGTTTCAGGCCTCGAGTTTAAGTCTTTAATTTAGTTTGTGTTGATTTCTGTATGTGGTAAAAGAGAAGGATTCAATTTCATTCCTTGACATGTGTTCATGCAGGAATATTCAAAGGTAAAATGATTAGATTGTGAGAGCTGCAATCCAATCAGTCCATCCTAGTTTGAATGGACTCACTGTGTAACTGTAGGCAGGTGAAACATGGCTGAAGGAGGGGAGTCACTGGACGCATGTCCTAGAAGAGTTGTTCTTCCTGTGGCCCTTTGACCCTTTCCTCCCTCCCATCCTCTCTCCTCTTCTATACCCTCTCCTCCCCCTGTCCTGACCCCTCCATGAGCTAAGCAACTTTCCTCCCCCGAACCCTTCTTCCATAATGTGCTCCCTTACTTTGGACCCAGAGCAATGGAGTCAGTTGAGAATAGACTAAATATCAGAAGTCATGAGCCAAAATAAACTTGCCCTCCTCTAAGTTATTCTTGTTGGGTACTTTGGTCACAGTGAGGGTAAATCCGATGAACACAGCATGTGAATTTCAATTTTCCCTGCACCATTTGTTGAAGAGGCTATATTTTCTCCAACATATACAGTATATACACTTGGCACCCTTGTCAAAAGTCAGTTGACCACATATGAATAGAATTATTGCTGGAATATGAATTTTGTTCCACTGGTCTATGTGTGTGTCTTTATGCCAATATCACAATTCTTTAATCACCGTAACTTTTTAATATATTTTGGAATCAGGACCTGGGAGGCCTCCAACTTTGCTCTTTCTCCAGACTGATTTGGCTCTTTGGGGTCTTTTGTAGTTCCACAAGAATTTTTGGATTTTGTTTTCTTTTTCTTTTTAAATTTATTTCTTTCATACATGACAATAGTGAAATGCATTACATTCATAATTATCCATTCACAGCACAATTTTTCATAACTCTGTATATAGAGTACGTTCATGGCAAATTATACCATTATACGTGAGCTCTCTTATTGATTTTTTTTTCCCCAAGCATGGTGGAAGGGGAGACTGTCATCATTATACAAAATACATGTATGAAGATGTGAATTTGGTGTCAACATACCTTATATACAGAGATATGATAAATTGTGGTATAAAGATGTATTAAGTAGATTTGGTTTTCTACTTCTGAAGAGAATGCAATTAGTAGTTTAATATGCCCTGAATGTATAGATAACTTTGTATTGTATGGAAAATTTAAGAGTGCTAAGTCTTCCAATCAATGAACTTGAGACGCTCTCTCACTTACTGTATCTTTAATTCCTTTCATCTGTGCTTTGTAGTTTTTAGCACACAAGTCTTTTACCTCCTTAATTAAAATTTTTCTCTGAGATATTTTATTGTTTTTGGTGCCACTTGAATATGCGATTGCTTTCTTAATTTCATTATCAGGTACTTTGCTGTTTATCGGAAAGAATGGAAATCAGGATCTGGAAGAGATATCTATACTCTCCTATCAATTAAAACCCAAGTCATGATAGAGAAGATGAGGAGACAAACTAAATGTCCATGGAGGATGAATGGATAAATAAAATGCATACAATGAAAGATGCATAAGAGGAAATATTATTTGACATTAAAAAATAGAAAAGTCTGCAGTATGATGCGACATGGATAAAACTTGAGGATCTCATGCTAAATGAAATAAGCCAAGTACAGAAGGACAAATACTGTATGATTACACTTCTACTAGGTCTCTAAAATAGTCAAACTTATAGATTCTAAGAGTGGAATTGAATGGTGGTTAAAAAGGCCTAGGGAAGTGGGGGAAGTGGGGCATTATTAATAAATGGGCATAAAGTTTTACTCAAGCAAAACGAATAAATTCTAGAGATACACTACTGTACAAAGTTATTATTTATGCAATTGCACTGTACACTTAAAAACTAGACAATAAAGTAGATCTCCTGTTGTTTTCTTACTACAATAAAATGACATTTAAAATAAATACATAAAAGAAGATAAAATGTGGTGTATTAGTATTTTTCAAGTCAGTAAAAAGTTAAAGCATAAGTTAATATGCAATTTGCAGTCTCATATATATATATATATATATAATATTCACAAAAGCAAGGAATCAAGCTTGTAAACATATGAAAATTACATTGTTGATATCATTCCACTTTGAGAATAATGACTCAAAGTCTATTCAATAATTTTAGGTTAAGGCCTGGCACTTTCCATAGACCAGGGCTTTTGCATATCTTGCCTTGTGATCCCATAAATATTAGTGATAGTTTTTCTTATTTTTGCTAAAGGGCAGCAGTAGGGAACCCTGGATACTCACTGTCAGTGTGCATACGCACTAGAAAAGGCAGAAATGGCAGTTGATGTCTGCAGCAAGCTGTTCTGCATTGGTAAATGGACTTTGCAGCTGGCACAGTTTAATTTCACCTGAGTTTATAATGCCTAAAAGTTGTTTTAAGTGCTATGATATATGATAAAAGCATTAACTAAATGTCACTTTACATTCATGCAGTTTACAAGTTAATCCACACATATTTCTAAAATAAGGAACATCTTCATTCATTCAAGGTAAAGTCTGGTCTCACCTAGACCTTGCTGGGCTGTGAGATGGTTTCCTTCAGGTCCTTCTAGAATCTGCTTCCTAGCAAACCATCTCTCAACTCTGCATAGCTGATGGGATTTTAGCAGGTTGATGAAGGGCCATCTCTTCACTGTTTATAATTTGAGGACTTCAACCTTGAGTTTATTCCCACAAATTAAAATTTAAAAATCCTAAATGTAAATGATAAAGTCATATATGATGTTCAAAAACATGCATGCTGCTTCATGAAACAAAGATATCCAATGGAGGTCAACATGATTATGATGCTATAGAAATATTATTTTTATAAATTTTAAACAAGAAATAACAACTTAAATTTGCTACTTAAATATATATATTTACATAGAATTTATAATAATAATAATTTAATACATATTATGCATTTATATTATTACATACTGAGTTATTAAATACACACATTTCAAAACATTTTAATTTGGTTGGTATTCTAACTCTTTGCATGTGTGAAAATATAAATATTTATTTGTGTCAACAAAATAAATAATGTGTCTTTGGGATAAAATCTTAGCAGGATAAAAATAATTAAATAAAAGTGAAGGGTACTGTCACTGGAAGGCATTACAGACCAAAAGGTTACAACTTTTGCTTTTAAAAAGAGTCCCTTCAGATGCATGCAAGGAATATATTGATTTACCTATGATCTTCTCTGTAGTAGTATTTTTATATAACTGTAAGTATCTTGCAAAATTAAGACAATCTACATTAAATGAGTCTTTTTTTTCCAAAAAGTACACAAAATAGAGGCCAGAGATGTAGCTCAATGGTAAGTATTTGCCTAACATGTGCAAGGCCCTGGGTTAATTTCCCAGCGCCACAAAAAAAAAAAATAAATAAATAAAATGTATACAACATATCATCAGGGAATATAAAACTATGCAGTTATCTTTAAAACTGAGGATGTTTAAAATAGAATATGAGTTCTTTAGGACTGCAAGTATTTCATTTACTAAATCTCCTGTGACTCAAGTGTAACAAAATGTGAAGATAAATTTATTGCAATCACAGAGTGGAACTGCTACAGTTTGAATATGGTTTAAGTGTGTCCATCCAAGGTTCACAAGTTGGAGAATTGGTCCTCAAGGTGGCGACCCTGGAGATGGTGTAGATCTTTAAGAGGTAGGGCCTTGAGGGAGGTCCTCAGGTCAGTGGGGACATGCCCTCAATAGAGAGGAGGTGTTTCTCAAGGGGCACTGGCTATTTCTCCAGAGAAGGTTGTTATGAAAACCTGAGCTGGGCCCTATCCAGCCTCTCTATTTCCTGTCTGGCTTCCTATTGGTTGTGATTTCTTCTTCCTACCATCCACAATGAGTTCATCACTAGAGCTGAAGTGCCATGCCCTTGGACTTCCCAAAACTGTGAGTTGAATAGACCTCTTTTATTTATAAAGTTAGCCTGCCTAAGGTATTTCATTATAGTAATGCAAAATAGGCAAATACAGGCATCTTAATTGTAAATATTTATGAATTAATGAAATAGGAAACCACTGATGTCTATAATTCAAAAAAAATGATGAATTTAATAATCATGGTCATCTTGACTCAATCAACCACAAATTCAAGATTCCAGTTTTCCCACCAAATAGAAATAATGACAGTATCCTTAACAAATTTTTGTAATGAAAAAAATCATGGTAGAAACAAACAAAATGAACACATGATAGTTCACAATGAGGTAAAGAAGGGAGAAAAATATAAATATCACACACACATTTTGCTAGTGAAAATTCTGGGGCAGAAAGGAAAGAAACAAATAGTACATTAGAGGAAACTTCTATCAATACAGTCTAGATGCACGGGATGTAGTGAACACAAGCACCTACTAGCCAGAAAAATAATAATACTTACTGGAGAAAACCACATCACTCTAAGAATCCAAATCGTAAGAGCAAGATTCACAACAAGGATGATGAGTAAGAGAAGAACGAATAAGTAGAGGCAACGCTTTCTCCAGCCATAAATGCCAATTTTGTAGACACACTGGTTCTCGGGCCTCTCTATGGGGGTGCCTTCTGTGGCGGTTGTGTACTGTTCCCGCACCATCTGCCATGGGAGGTGTGCAGGAGGAGAGAGAGAGAGAGGAAGCAGGGAGGGGGAGGGGGAGAGAGAGAACTTATTTGTCAATACTGGTTTGCTACCAGTGGAGGAAAAAAGTTTTTAACCACAGTAATACATTTCCAGAATTAATAGGTTTTGAAAAGGGAATGAAATATTACTTTGAAATGCATCACATGTTTTAACCACAGGGAGATATTTAATCTATTATTTAAAATATTTTAGATATGACAAATTCATTTGAAATCCAGTGACCATATTTTCAGGTTTTAATCAATAAACACAATACACATATACAGCTTTAAAAATTCTGCAGGGTTAAACTTGGAATTGAAGCATCAACCTGCAATAATCAAGTTATCAAGTTCTTGAAATATTCAGTGGGAAAAAAATCAAACTGGTATCTATCTGTGTGTGTGTGTGTGTGTGTGTGTGTGTGTGTGTGTTCCAGTTACGCAATTTTATGTCAAATAATTAAATTATATCTTCCTTCAGTTAATTACTCAGAATTAAAAGGCTCTTTTCAAGATGTCTAACCACACCAATCTTTGCCTATAATAAAGTTCTCAAATAAGACAGGTAAGAATACATTTTATATACAAATGTTTACAAATACTCATTGTTTATGCAAATTAGAGTAAGTTTTAGCCACCATTTCAGCTCTATGAAGAGATTTTAAAAAATCATTTTTTCCCTTTACACGAAGAATAAAAGAAACTGCTTTTTTTCCATAAAGGGAAAATTAGAAATTATGAAGATTTTGTAAATGTGGTAAAGTGATGAATCAGAATATAAAATACCCTTGTCTGGGATGTTTTTATGCAGAGTTTATATGTTTATTTTTAGGGGTGATTTGGATGTGTCCTTATTGAAAAACAAGTCATGGTCTAAATTCTTTAAATCTCTTTCCAATTTAACAATAGGCATTTTCTCATGTTGTAAATGACTATATAGAATTATTTCTACTAGTATCCTCAAGTTCACAGGACTGAACTTGATGATGATTTCATAAAGGCGTTACTTAGGCATTTCTTTGATTTCCTTCAGTCTTCTCTATATTAGACAGTGCAACACTATCCACTTAGTTACCCAAGCCCAGGTCCCTGATGTTAATTCTCTTTTCCCTTCAGCCACACCTTGGCAGGTCCTATCAACTGCTCCTTGGTGAACTCTCATCTGCGTTGCTGCAAACTCCACTTCATTCTTTCCCCCAGAGTCTGTTTTGCAGTGATGCAGACCAGGCACCCCACCTCCCACTCCATAACTGTAATAATTAAGCTTCTCTCCTGGCCAACAAGATCTTTATGAAGAGCATCAATAGGCTTTCACAGGAGTTCTGCAGAGAGTGCAATGTGGTTTGAAGCTTCCTCTTTCTTGTAAATGCCAGGTGTGTAGACATAAGGTGTGATAGACTCTGTCTCAAGAGAGCTCAACGTACAAGTTATGTCTCTGTTTTCCATATAAAAATGTGTGAGGCCTCTGCCTCCCCTAAAACTATGGGACAAAGAGTAACTGTTGAGTACCCGCCCATAGTCATGTAACCACCCACCCCATTGAGTATAAATCTAAAAGAATTTTCAGACCCAGGGTCCAGAGATTTTTAGGCATTAGCCCTTGTACTGCTGAAGCTTAAATAAACCTGTTTCCTGAAAATTCTTCCAGTATCCAACCTCGTCTGTCCTATATCAGCAGTACTGACATGATTAATAAAACTAGCAAAGTTTTCCAAGAGTGTGGGTATGTGCCTAATTCTATATGTTCCTATTCCTGTACATACTTTCTTATTGTTGGTTGAACAAATTTATCTAAAGTTTAGTGACTTAGCACAATACAACTTTATCTTATAGCTCAAAGTCCCCAAATATACATCTCTATGACCAAAATCAAAGTGCAGGCAGGAATGCATTTCTGTAGAGGGTGTAGGTGAGAATCTGTTCCTTCCTTTTTCCAGCTTCTAGAGGCAGCCTGAGATCTTGGCTCTAAACTATAGCCTTGTCAAATCTCCATCTCTGACTCTGGCTTTCCTGCCCACTCCTCATAAGGAACCTCATGATTACACTAGGCACCCCAGTGTAAATTATCTAATTTAGGATAATTTATACCCCAAGAACCTTCACACAATCACATCTGCAAAGTCCCTTTTACCAAGAACGTGCTCACAGATTATGAGGGTTAGCAACATGGACATTTTTGGAAGGCATTGTTCTGTCTACCATAAAATGCTTTTGTTCATCCATAAAACTGAGTATATTGGTATTCACTTAAGACAATTTTGTCTTGGGCTGATTGCAATTCTGTTACTCAGGCCCCCCCAAGTCAGTGATGGGAAACTGAACAGTTTATTTGTTCATTTGTTTATTTCCTCTCATTTGTTAGAATGTAAACTCCACGAGAATATTTTCTGCTTTATTCACCACTAGATCCTTCATGTAGTACAACAGCAAATAATGGGCACAAAATAAAAACTCTAAATGAATTAATGAACTGTTGAGTTTGATAGATATTAATTGAGCTACCTTCCAGGAATGATGACACAAAAGGAGGCTAGATTGACAGCAGCAAATCCTGTGAAGTATATACTAAATAAAATATTATTGATTTATGGGTATGTTCAATCCATTAAGAAAAGATTCAGTACTTGTTCTTAAACAATTATTAGGAACGAGGAGTTAATCTAAAGTAGGATTCAGACTGGTGGAGAAAAATAAAATGTCTCTAGTATTTTAAATATGAAAAGAATATGAATGAGGATATATTATACCAGATTAGATAAACAGTTTTAGAAGTGTGCATGAACCACAGTCAATGGCCTCCTGAGGGCTGTGATCATGCACACTGCCATGTGCCCTGGAAAATAGAAGATGCTTCCCGAATGCCCCAGCCCCATTTCTTCCTCTTCCTTATAGCAAAATAACTACGGTCAGTTGATTATACTCAGTGTTTCTTCAATTCAGTTTTGTGACTTGCATTATCTCTAGAACCCTTATCCAGACCTATGACTTCATTGAATTTGTCCTTGCAAAATTACTGTTGACTTCCATATTGTTAAATAAGATGTTCATTCACAGGGCCTGCAGCCATTTCCTCCTCCTCCTTGAAATGCTTTTTGTACCTGGGATCCAGAAACTTCACCTGGCTTTCTTCTCCCTGCAAAGACTTCTTATTCTCATTGATGGTTTCTGCTCAGTTTTGAACTTCTCATTTTCATAGCCACTTGCCCCTATTATAGATGCACATTTAAATTGGGGATTCCCTTATGTATATTCCTAGGCTGGAGTCATCTTGGACCAAGATCCCCACCTGAACCCCAATATCCAACTGGGGATCTGAAACTTTGCAAAACTCTTCTCCCTGACCTATATTCCTTGTAACATTTTTTTTTCCATGTAACTAATGGGAACTTCATCCTTCAAGCTGTTTGAGCCAAAAATCCTAGAGTTGCTCGTAGTTCCTTTTTCTTTTCCATAGCACATCCACTCTATCAGCAAGCCTTCTAAGCACTATGAAGTCTAGAGTGTGATTTCTACCATCTCCTTTCACCTGAACTATTGTAATGGCCACGGAACTGTTCTCAGCCTCCATCTCTCAATCTTTTACTGTCAATTTCCAACATAGAGGCTGTCACTGTCATTTTAAAACAGAATCACACCTCACTTCTGCAAACAACAACAACAAAAAACCCTCTCGGAATAAAAACCAAAAATCCTTATTGCAACTGGCATGATTCCTCCTGCCACCACCCCCTGTCACCTTCTCTGACCCCTGTGGCTCTAGTTCATACTGGTCATACTCAAGTGTAACCCCACTTCAGGGGCTCTGATCACCATTCTCTCTACATGGAAGGACTTCTCCCAGATAACTACATGACTCAACTTCCTCAAATCTCTGCTCCAAGTTCACTTATCAGCCCCCCACACCAATGCCACCACAAAGCTGGCTATGTTCCCTTCTGCTTAAATTTTTTACCCACAACACTTAACTGTATATTACACACTATATATTTTCCTACTCATTTTCCTGTAAATGCTCATCCCAAGAGGGTAGAGTTTTGAACTGTTTGTTATTTTGTTATATCTCCAGCACCTAAACAATACCTGGCATATAGTATAGGTTCAATAAGTATTTATTGAATAAATGGGATAAAAACATTAAATGAACAAACAGCCAGATTACTTATATAAATTTAAAGGTAAAACTAACAATAAGATAAGCTGAGGGTTACTTCTGAGTTTCTTTGAACTTGTATAATTAGAAAGTGAAAACCTACTCACAATGGAGAATATTAGGTTGATTACTAGTTTACTGAGGAGACTCAGCAAGCTCCATTACCATCTGGCGGGTGTCTTCCAGGGAAAGGGAAACTGGGGATTGTGCTTCCCTGGTTTGGGAGTCACCCCACATCTGTGCACTTTCTTTTTGACAGCTTGAGTAAGAGGCTGGACCACTTCTTGAGTAGAACCCATTGAGGACTTGCTGACTGTTGGGGGCTCATGAGTTGCTTTCTAATCCTTCCTTTCTGAGCTGCATTTACCAAAATCATTTCTATTTGATCACAAACATGTTTTCTTTTAGATTTCCAGTTTTATTTCTTATTATGTCATGTTTTATGATTGCCTTTTTATACTACTCTGGATTTATTAAATTGCCATCTACCAGTGTTAACTGTGTTGTATTAAAAAGGCCTTAATCTAGGTAAGCAGGAGCTAAATGAGTAGCTATATTCAATTTAAACCTCTTTAAAAAGTTGGTTTTGTTTTAAATGTACCATTTATATTTCTCACAACTCAAATTATTTTTTATTAGACATTATATAAAATATTTCTAGATCCTCTCTAATTTAGTGAGCTTCCTTCTGATATTTATATAGTTATCACTGGGAAGGAGGCCAATTCTTTAGCACTTTGAGGTCATGTAAATTGATATTCATGTTGGCAAGAAATTGTTCTGATTGGAACCATGCATAGCACTTTTGGACCCATTTATAACCC